TCGATCTTTTTCGCTCTCTGCGGGCTCTAGTTTTATTAATCTCTGCGGAATTTTAAGAATTAATAACTTCTTCTCTAATTTTCTGTTGCTTGCTTTTCTTCGATTCATAACCAAACAGAACGTTGATCCTTTTGTTTCTCTCGTGTCTGCTGATATATTCTCAATTTGAGATGATTTATGGGTTTATAATGATAGTATTAACTCCAAAAAAAAAAAAATTAGTCCTTGTTGTGCTGCTTTAGGGTTTTTATGGGAAAGATAATACAGATGTTCCTTGGCTCCCTGGAAAATACCCATTTTGTTAATGCTATTAGTAGCTTGAGTAAATAATATACTAATAGTATATGTATCTGGACGGTGGAAGTCATCCATTTGAGTCTGATTATCTTTAAATCTAATGAATGTGAGTTTTTCTATTTTGATTTGCTCCCCTGCCATTATAATTATTATTTTTTTTAAAAAAATAGTATTTATATCTGGACTTAATTTCTCCATGTATTTACTCGGGCAAGAGCTTTTCTTGTGAATATTATCAGTTTATGTTCAAACTAACTCCCTTACAGTCCTCGCAAGAATTAGTTGCATAAATTTGCAGCTTCTGGAAATTCTTTGTAAGAAAAAATGATATTTAAGTTTTGCATTGGAGGAAACCTTCCTAGAATTGGTTTCACGTTCTTCTCTGTAGGTTATCCATTAAGGAATTTCATGTTCTTGCTGCAGGGAGAGATGAACACTGGTGAGAGAAAAAGGTTGAATGGAGAAGCAGAAGAAGATGATGATGATGATTTGGATGGGGAAGGCTTTAATGCATGGGAGAGAACTTACGCAGATGAGCGATCATGGGAATCCTTGCAAGAGGATGAGTCTGGGCTGCTTCGTCCTATTGACAACAAAGCAATCTATCACGCACAGTATCGGCGGCGGCTTCGTTCCCTTTCCTCATCTGCCACGACTGCTCGAATTCAAAAGGGTCTCATTCGCTACCTCTACATTGTCATTGATCTCTCGCGGGTATTTATTTAGCATTCAAAGCAGGTTTTTAATCCTAACTTGATTTTGTAAAGCTTTAACATGTTTGTGGTTGGATGCAATGGTTAAATGCAAACAACTTATTTTATGTAGTGCAGCTGGAGCTTTGACATGAATATAGACTGGAAAGAGTTGATGAGTTCGATTACTGTAAAAGATATGATTGAATATTATTTGGGTGTATAAACTTCTATTGCTTTAGTGTGATAGTGGTTTATATCAATATTTAGATCATTTCTTAAGAGTCTCATGTTAGGTTTGTGTTTTGTGGAGTTCAAGACTTCTGGTAGTGCATATTTTCCAGGTTTGGACCGGTGGATTCCTTGCAGATGTCCACAGTAACATTTAAACAAGAGTAGAAAGTTATTGTTTACTTGGATAAGGTGTCCTGAAGTATGATATCTTCCACTAAATGTAGTTCTGTTTAGGCAAGCATTTATGCACAGAACCAACGTGAGATCTGAGTCAGTAATTCGTCATATATCCCACTTGATGCTGCTTTAACTTTTTTTATTTGAACTTTCATGCTCTATTATTTTGCTTAAAATGTAAGTGATTAAGAGTTCAGTTCAGTATTTCCAACCTAGAACTACGTAAGCATCCAATTAAGCTCCTTTATCCAAAAAGTGAAAACTAAAAGATTTCTGAAGCTTGAAACATTTGACACACAGAAACTTCAAAAACCAAAATTTGTAAGCCACTCTGAAATTGTCCTCAGTCCAACTTAATCTTAATTTTTTTATGTTAATATATCTAGGCAGCTGCAGAGATGGATATTCGACCTAGCCGGATGTTTGTGGTTGCAAGACATGTCGAGGCTTTTATTCGGGAGTTTTTTGACCAGAATCCTCTTAGTCAAATTGCTCTTGTAACCATAAAAGACGGCGTTGCTAATATGCTAACAGATCTTGGTGGCAGTCCTGAGTCCCATATAAAAGCCTTGATGGGCAAGCTCGAGTGCTCAGGTGAATCATCTTTACAGAATGCCTTGGAACTTGTGCATGGATATTTAAACCAAATACCATCATATGGTCATCGTGAAGTTCTGATCCTATATTCGGCTCTCAGTACTTGTGATCCTGGGGATATAATGGAGACAATTCAGAAATGCAAGAAATCAAAAATAAGGTGTTCTGTTATCGGCCTTTCTGCTGAGATGTTCATATGCAAGCATCTCTGCCAAGAAACTGGTGGCCTATACTCTGTTGCAATGGATGAGGTGAGTGGTGACTGGCTAATGGCTAGACAGGTTCATACCAACTTAAATATGATATATGTGTTAATCCGTTTAGATTTTACATCCCTAAAATCTCTTAAATGAGTTGTCAAAAATGCACACCTGTCACCTGCTGCCATATGTAGTTTGTCTATAAGCTTCTTTTCTTTCGTTTTTTCAAGAGTCTGAACTTGTATTATTTCATGTAGGCCCACCTCAAAGAGCTAATATTAGAGCATGCGCCACCTCCTCCAGCAATAGCAGAATATGCGATTGCAAACTTGATCAAAATGGGTTTCCCACAAAGAGCAGCGGAGGCATCTATTTCAATCTGTTCATGTCATAAAGAAGCTAAGGTTGGTGCAGGGTATACCTGTCCAAGATGTAAGGCTCGTGTTTGTGAGTTGCCTACAGACTGTTGTATATGTGGTTTGACTCTTGTTTCTTCACCCCATCTGGCAAGATCATACCACCATCTCTTTCCCATTGCTCCATTTGATGAGGTTTCTGTGTCAGATCTAACTAATATGCATAACAAATTCCCGAAGAATTGTTTTGGTTGCCAACAAAGCCTCCTCGCTACAGGTAATTAATCAAGTGGAACATTTTTGTTTTTGATAAACATAATTCTGTTGAACATACCTATGAAGAAATCTAAATATCCACTATCACTTGTCAGTTTGTTAAATCTTGTTTAGAAACTTAAAAATGTTCTAGTTTAATTTCCTTGCCAGGTAAATAATTGAATTATTTTACACCATGGCCAAGAATTTTATAGTTATATATTCTCGATTATTAGGGAGTCATGTTTTACAGCAAGTCTAAAAATGGAGCTTCTTTATTACTCCTAGAAAGAAATTCTTTTAGTACCTAGTGGGATTTGACCTGCAAACCATCTCTCGTTCACATGAGAAATCATGAAATATTGCTGCATATAGTTTTTCGGATATACTATTGCATGGTCTCTGGCTGCAACAGTGGCATATTATATATTCTGTTATTCATGAAACTATCTATGGATTGAGAGGGTCACATGTTGCTTGTATTGCTGCAGGGAACAAACCCGGTCCATGTGTTTCTTGTCGAACATGCAGACAATACTTCTGCCTCGACTGTGATATTTATATTCATGAAAGTTTGCACAATTGTCCAGGTTGTGATAGCATTAGACGTTCCAAGTCGGTCACCAATAATGAAGAATGACAAACTATTAATCCCCAGTGGGTACCAATTCAAATATCCATCAATTTTCCTCGTAAGATCATCTGTGGAAGGCCTTGATTAAACTTACGGAGAGAAGATAGCTTTGTCAATTTTTGAGAGTTACTTTTCATTTTTTTCTCATGGCAAAGAGGCCTTTTTAATTGAGAACTAGTACAAGGTAATGAGGCAGTTTTGACAGTCGAATACTTGAATTTCTTTTGGGCAACGTAGCAACCATTGTATTACATTCGTCCAAGGGGAAAAGAAGAAAAGATGTTGCAGAGTTTAAATGACTTGAAAAACTTTTAGCCTTGCAACAAACTTCTTGTGTATCTTGTGGTTAAAATATATATATATATATATATATATATTTACAAATGAACTTAATAAAAATTCTGAATATGTTGCCTTAAATTTCTCCTTTCAACTTGTACAGAGATTTGGAAAATTATCAGGATATTCCATCGATTAGATCAACCCTGTTGTGTTGTAGAACAGGGCTGCTGGCCATAGTCACCGTTGCGTAAAATGACAGCTCACCCATAGTTATCAATTATGTATGACATGATGTCCTCCAGCCACAGATTTAATTAAAACCTGATATTGTTAAGAAATTAACCACCACGTCAGCCCCATGTATCAACTACATCATGAACACTCCCGAACTATCTCGAGCCAAATTGTTGAAGAGCAAAACACGCTCATGGAACCCTTCGACGCTACTCAAATCACGTTTGTCTTCCCAGACCCCTTTTTCAAGCTTTTAATGGCCTGAGATTCGGGGTGAATCAACAACAATTTCAACGGGCACCCAGAATAGGCTACTACAAGTTAAACTGAGACCCTAGCCAAATTAGGGATAACTAATCATATATTTTTTTTAAAAAATCTATTATTTTCTATATTCATAACCAGATCTGATTGAACATTTACAGGCTATATCTCTCATTCAACCGACGTAAAAATCTTGTGTTTACTGGAATATTCTCTCATCATATCCAAAGGACTAAACCAACGGGCTAGTTCTAATTATATATATATTTTTTTATAAGAGCTAGTTCTAAATAATAACTATGTACTGTACAATTTACCAGCAAGAGAGCGGCAGAACTTTTGTTAATGACAGGAAGAGGCCCATGAATGGATCCTGTTAGAAAAAACAGTGTCAGAAACAGAGCTCGACAGACAATTGGGGATAAAAATGACTTGATTTCCATTTTTAAGGAAGTGTACAACGCACCATCTGGAGAAAAAATCTGTACGAGCCTGCACAGTTGTTCAAACGAACAGATTTCAGGCAACATTTTATCCTGCGTGTATCCTTTTCACAATTGGTTAATTTGTGTCAGTCAAAATGGACTAAATTACCAAATCTTCATTGGATGGTGTTTAATGCTTCTACTACGAACCAATTGAAACTTTCACCAATAATTCCAGAATAAAAAAGTCAAGATGCTATTCGGAGTCTGTATCAATAGAAAGATACAACCGTGGTCTCACAGAACGCTTCTGACGAGGAAATGAGAAAGGGCTGTCTGATCTTTGTCTACTTGCTTTCTCAGATTTACCTTCGTGCATACCAAGAAGCAAAGAAGCTGCAACAGGTGTTAACCATTAGTTCCAACAATCTCTGAAATCCATATCAACCTCCAATATTGAGTTAAGATAATACTAATACAAAACTTTGTTATATTAGGATGAACCCAGATTTCCTTTTCCAGTTAAAAATACAAACATAATCCATAACACTAAAAACTAATTATATGAAAGCGAGTTCAGAATGATAATCATGAGAAAATTTGACAAAGCACAAATCTCAAGAGAAGTCTAACATTCATATCAGGAAAAGAGATGGAAATCATAAAACAATTGGGGCCTTCCAAATAGTGTTATAAATTTAAACAAGACCAAAAGTTCTTTGGTGATTAAGAGAACAAACCAGTGTCAGCTAACGTATCCATGGCATCTTCTCTGGGAGGCGTTTGCTGACTTGTCCTGATTCCATTAGCAATTGCTGAGTCACCACTATGGCCACCACTTGCACCGCCACCAAGTCTAAGAGATATCCAATCATCACTCCGAGACATATCCGCTTGATCTCTTAAATCAGTTCGTGCCGATGGATCTGAAGGCCTTGTAGGAAGGAATAACTGAAGAGAGGGATCATTCCCACCAAAGGCCAATGGATTATCAACTAAGCCATCATTCATATCAGCATCAGATCGACAAACAGAACCTGGGACTAAAGTCGTAGATCCTATGGCAGTCTCTGGAGCAATTGTGTAGCCATTCATTGATGTGGGACAGTTAACTGGAGCATGCAAATCATAGGCATCTGAGACATCTGTACCTGTAGTAAATAATTGGAACTCAGGGCCTCCTTGGGTTCCAGGAGGTAAGTTCCAGAGGTTCCCAAATTCATCATCAGTGCCATTAAAAAGACCCAAGCATGAACTCCCACCCGGCACAATAGTAGGATCCTCAGGGTAGGAATCAGCAATACCAGCTGGAGGCACCGCAAAGTTGACGCCACCATCCGTTCGAGGTCCAGAAGATATGAGTATGTCATTCTCCTCTTCTGAATCGCTGAGAACAATAACTTCTGCATTTCCAGCTGGTGCAGGTGGATTTCGGTCAGCAAATCCAAATGCTGAATCAACATTCAAAGACATAGAATCAAGCTCTATCCCATTGTTTGCAAAATCAAAGGTCGCACCGGCATCCTGATTTACACTTGGATCCTCGCCATCCCTACCACTTCCAGTGGCACTGCTGCTCATTGGTATAACTTTTTGCTCATAATTTTCAGGATTTCCTTGTAATCTACTACCAGAAGAAAAGGTGTTCATATCTTCAGGTTTGCTAACTTCCCAAACCCCATTTCGATTCTTCCGAATTCCAAGCTTCAAACCAGTATGAGCCTCTGAAATTCCTTCTTGTTTTACTGGTATTAATGTCTCCACTCTTGGTTTAACATCCACAGGAGCACATAATGTTCCATCAGGTAAGTGCCACTGTGAAAGATCCCCAAGTTCCCTCCGCTCACTTTCATTTTTAGACTTCACACGCCAAGAACCATCAGGTTTCACCTCAAGTTCTGTCATATCTTCTCCACATTGCCTCATCTACACCAGAAAATGAACTAAATAATCTATATATCAATGGTAAGAGAAAAAATCTCAGTAGTTCTACAGCAGGAAGCACCTTTGATGTGATGCGATTGAAATAAGGATCAATTATTACATGCTCCAATGAATAATTTGTGATACAAATGGGGCACTGCCACTGCAAAGTAAACAATTTCAGTTACATAAGATTATGACAGGAAGATGAAACCCTCATATGGAAAAAATTATAGTCGCTTGCCTTCCTAGAACGTTGGTTCATCTCTACAAAAACTTCAAGATCAAAGCAACCCATGTGAGCACACGGTTTAAATCTCCCAGCAACCTTCATCCTTGAGCCACTCATCTATTTACACAAGCACAATGACATGAATTATTCTTGAGCCAGCAATGTAAAAAATTTTGTAAGTCGAAATTGTGAATGATAAAAAAATTACAATCCAAATGCCATCAAGATAGCCAATGTTCAGTACCAAAAGCAAATGTTGCCATATCCAAATGATAAAATAATACCAAAGGAAATATGAAGTAAAAAAGTTTTGTACATGAGTTGGTACCCCTTTTTGGTACCTTGTTAATACATACTTTTACACTTTTTATCTAAAAAAAAAAAAGGAAATATGAAGTAAACATAAAGCCCAACAAAGACAAATTTCCAATACACATTTCATCGGCAATCTTTGTCATTTTGCTGAAAAAATATAAGCAAGTCCAAACTTAATTAGATCCACAACCTACTTCTGTCTGTGAGGATCCCAACAAAGCACCTTCTACTTTGAATAAGCCATGAACTAGATCAGAATCATTCTTCGTGAATCCATAAAAAGTGGTCCCGTTTCTCTTATCAGGTCCGGGTAAAGATCAAAGATCTTGAGCAATCAATCCATTAGAACAACTCAAAAGGTAAAGAAGTATCATTAATTTCTTCATGCCCGTTCCAAGTTTGAAGTACCATTTGCACAAATAAGAATCCCTTCATTACATGATTTATTCTTCATACAGATAGATATAGGATCTATTGGGTAATTATTTAGAAGTACATTCTGTGCAACATCATTTCATATATGATAGAAAAGGATCCCACAATCCTGAACTGATCTTACACCGGACCGCAAATCTAAAGTTTGTTTAGGAAGAGCAGATTCAGTCACCTCACCCTCTACACCAGTAAGTTTTCACATCCTACTGGTCACCATTGTGGCTTTTCTTTATTAGCAAAGAATTCATGAAGACAAATACTTGTGCTATTATTTTTTAAAAAATAAAATGTGTGATAGATTTCATTAATTCACAAGCATTAAAGAGGTGCCAACCTATGTACAAAAAAGTATTTACAAATACTTGTGCTATTATTTTTTAAAAAATAAAATATGTGGTAGATTTCATTAATTCACAAGCATTAAAGAGGTGCCAACCTAGGTACAAAAAAGTATTTACAAATACTTGTGCTATTATATTTAACTCAGAAGCAAACTCCATGAATACAAATACAAGAGAAAGAGATAATTATTGGAATTTGAAGATCTAATTCCAGTTTCGATTCAAGCTAGCAGATTTCTAATCCCTACTTCATTCCTACCCAAGTAGGCATAGAAATCCATAACCACAGAATTCAATTGAGTGGAATTAGTTAAATTGTGCAAAAAATATGAAAATGAGGATCCATTCCCATATATCAAGTAAATGATAGTCAACAAATAGAATAGGAATTAAACCATGTGACCTGTTGACGTAAAATATAATACCAACTATTTAGCATAATTTTAAATGAGATTGTGGCAATATTAGACATCAATCTACCTTAAAATTATTTTCTTTCTAGAAAATGGAGATACCTCCCTTATCATTCTGAATAATTGCCAAAGTCATCATCTATTAGCTTACAAAGTGATTCTGAATCAATCTATTAAAAAATGATTCAACCAAAAGATATATAATTATTTAGACTAACTCCTATAGCCATATCATTTCCTAGTCATCAATATGATTTTTGAAACATAGTATTGACCATTGACCGCAGTTCAGATATACTATTAAGTTAACACCAATAGGAAACATAAATAAAAAAATAGACAAAAACTTTTGTCTTATGAACTCCAGTATCAAGAGACACACTACTCCAATATTAGTGACAGAAAATTAACTTCAGATCAACATCCACTCATCAGGTTTTCACTTTTCATGACTACAACATAGATTACAGAAGATAGAATATGAAAAAAAAAAAAAAAAAAAAAGAAAGAAAAGAAGTAGCTTCAGATCAACAGCCACTTGTTGATTCTCATAAGTACAAGATAGATAACAGAAGACAGAACGTCCAGCAAGCACCATAATACAAGCTACATAGAGGCAACAAAATGTGGGATAAACATATCCATCAATAAAAGGTATATAGCATTTTGTATGCAGGTTGAACCCCCTTGGTCAAAAGAATTAGGCATGTAGTAATGCATCATATTAACTGCATGATATTCACTGTGCATTGTCCTAGAGCAGTACAAAACTGAAAAAATCATCATATAAAAACCTTCTTTACCAAACTAAGTGACTTACAGGACAGCGTAGAGTGACATTGAAAAAATCTGCAACAACTTCAATATCACTGTCACTATCTGCATTATCTGCTCCAGTTCCACCACCAATGCAGCGACGTACACGAGCAAGTGCATCTTCAAACTGTTCAGCCTCTCCCTCCTTGGGAATCATGTTGAGAATCTGGACAAAGCAGAAGACAGCATAACCATAAAACAGCGGGCAAAGAACAGATAATTTAAAACTGACAAAATATTTGCACCATAAAGAATTTAGTGCGAAAGAGAAAAGATTGGTCCAATCCAAAGTCCGCACCAATAAACTAAATTACTAAGACAAATTATTACATTGCAATTATAAGCCAAAAGGATACAAGAGAACAAAAAGTTTCAGCATAGGACAAACACAGAATATGAAAATCACAAGTGTGTATGCTATATGCACATTTATCAAGTAATCTCAGCATAAAACCTTAAAAACATTTATTCTCAAAAAAATCCATGCATAAAATAAGTTACGCCACAAGGGGATCATTTGCTTTGCTTAGTGGAATGAGGCTGTAACAGGATAGCTACTCAATGTGAATATAATAAGAAAGCAATGCAATTGATTACATTGTGTTATTTGATTTACAATTAGGAATAACCTATTACAGCCTCATTACTATGTCCTAAGTCTAGGAACTATAATAAAATATAAATGACTACAATAACCTTCTTTACTGCATTTGATTGAAAATGTATTTTAATGCACTTTTTACAATTAATAATACACTAAGTACTAACTTAAGCTTATCCAATATAACATTAAAAACTAATCAATCACCTAAAAATTTGTACATATTAATTTTTTTTGAAATAAAAAAATATTGTATGTACTACTAATTACAAGTACCAAAGGGTTGCCAACCCAAAGACAAAAGTATTTACAAGTCAATCAGGACGTTAATAAAGTCTCCAAAATCCTCTATAGAAATACAGTTGATGACCCATAACCAAAATACCCAAGGTCTCTAAAACTGTCTATCTCTAACCCTATTGAAATCATCTTCCACCCCCTCAAAAGGTCTCATATTTCTTTTTTTTCTTTGCACCACCTAAAATATAGCAAGAGGAATAAAACCCACATGTTTCTTCCCACCACTAACACCCTTACAGACCCAAATTTTATCCGTTACAATACCCATTATTACCCAACTAATTCCCAGGAATCCATACACCAAAGTCCATAACTTAAAAGTAAGTGGATACCAAAACAAGATATAATTACAAGACTCCTCTGTCCTCCTACATAGAAAATAGTCGTTCACCATGATCTTCCTCCTTCTCATTAACTTGTCAATAGTGAAAATACGTCTCGCCCTACCTACCAAGCAAAGAAAACAACCCTAGAAGGAGTATTCACCTTCCAAATTTGTCGAAAAGGAAAGTTGTTCTCTACGAAATCATTCTTGACCAAATAGTCACTAGAAAACTTAATTGTGAATGCCCCTGCAGAGTTGAGGCTCCAGACCGATTCAGAGAGGTTAATGATAGTGAACTGAGAAGGGATTCATACTCATTGATTTCATAAATCATTGAGGATTCTCATCACCTCCACGTGCTACTACTCTCCCCTCGTCCCCAATGTCTTTGAATGACTCATAAACTGAGAGGTCCTTGTGCTGTGCAATAGCAAAGATTTGGGAAAACTAATCTCTGAATGCTCCCCATGTAAGCCAAGAGACCATCCAGAAACTGATTCTTTCCCCATTGCCAATCCTCCACCTGATGTATTCCTAAAATTTATTCGCTTCCCATGCATATTTTTCTCCACATCCTACTCCCATGCAAGCTTAACAATATTCTGGAGTACCATCCTCTATCTACAGTACCAAACTTCGCCTCTATTACCCTCCACCATAGGATGTTGTTTTCTTTCATGAATAGCCAAAGCCATTTGCCCTGCAATGCCAGGCTCATCTCTGCAAACGATCTCAACCCCAACCCACCAGGATGCATTCGTTTTTTTATCTTATCTCACGCCACCAAAGGAATCTATATTAAATTGACTTCGATCTCTTGCCAACATTCACTGGAATTGTCAAAAGGGACAGGTAATAAATGGAAAGATTGCTCTTCCACCCGCCAGCCTCCTCCCGAAGGTTGCCACGACAGGGTCCCATGTCCTCATATCTTCTTTTTTTTTTTAAATAATGTCCTCACATCTTTATAATTAGCCCCCAAAGGGCATATCCAGGTACTTAATCAGCACCAACTTTTGCATCCCAAGACTTTAGCCAATCTAATAGCATCGCTCTCGTTACCCAATCTCACCAATTCAGACTTAGTTAAGTTGATATTCAGACAATAAACCGCTTGGAAGCACAGATAGAATACATTTAAGATTGAATAGAGCCCATTCATCCGGTTCATAAAACACTAAGGTCTAATCAGCAAAAAACAAGAGCATTACCTCCTGCATATGCTCAGCCACACCCACTTTTAGTCCCCCTTAAACAACTCTAGTTCCCTGGCCCTTAACAACAATTTATTCAAAACTTGCATGGCAATAATAAAAAGTAGTGGAGATAATGGATCCTCTCGTCTACTAGATATTAAATTATATTATAACAAAAAATCAAAAATGAAAAGCAAGCTTGAAAATTAGTAAAATGTTCCTTTAAAAAGCTAAAAATTTCCAATACAACGAAATTAAAATGTTATTTCTATATGAAAGATAAAATGATAAAATATTATGGCAGAAAAGGTGACGATGTTATTTTATGAGTTTCTTTTTTTTGGGCAAGTATTTGTCGAGTAAATGGTATGTTAAATATTTTATTAGAAAATGAGTATAATTTACCCAAAAAATTATATCCTTAGACATGTAGTACTAGTGATTACTGACCCTCTAGTCATGAATCCTGGTTACAAAATGTCTTGTAATCATAATACCATGCAGCCAGCCAAGGCAGTAATAAATAGTATGATTGTAATAATCATTTTATTCCATCCCTGTTACACCTCTATCCAGCAAATTAAACAACTGATAAGTGCAGATGACCCTCACCGTATTCACTTGGGTGGCCAAAAAGAAATAGAACGTAAAGCAAGAGATGCTTGTGCAACAATTAATAAAGCATGCACAATGTCAACAACAGAAAATCCATTTAGAGATTGAAGTACCTGTTGAATAGTTCTTCGTTTTACAATTCTAACCCCCAGACAGAAAATACGGGCATCGCACCCACTCAAAGAAATCTTGTTAATCCCATCCTTTATGCATGGTGTTATCTGTCAAAACAGTGAGACAAACTTATAGTTGTCAGACCCGAAATCAACAGAAAACATGCTCAACATTCTATTTGGTAATAAACAGGCCAGTAATGAAATGAAATCATTACAATACACAGAATGAAGAAAATTATCTTTCAAAAAGGACAAAATCCTCACAATTGGGCCATCATCACGACCATTTAACCCTAGCAGCTGTGAGCCAGGTCTATTAATAGCACGAACAGGTACACCTGTCAGTCATAGAAATTGTGGGAACTTGATATCAAAAAAAGAGCAACAACCACTATCTAAATCTGCTAAACACCAAGAGTGTGAATTACATCCTCGGTGACAGTGCAAAGAATTCAACAAGATATTAATAGGAAATTCAGATATATCAACTATAAGCAAAGGTCAGTCACACATACCATTGACCTGCAGATCTGTGTATTGTGGCCACTGCATCCTGAACGGTACCTTGTCATTCAAGAGCATGCACCACGCCTAATAGAAAAATATAAAGTACCATAAGTAAGTCCTCTTAACCATTTAGAGCACTATCAATTAATGATTCATCAATTTAGACATTAAATTAACCTGAACATCATATTCTTGTTTTGCCAGTAAGTCCCTGTCTGCCCTTGTGATCTGAAATGTTCTCTCCACATTTTGCATAGGATTCGTACTGAAAGGATTTCAGATAGCAGGAGCAAAATTAAATATGCAGGTAACATAAATAAGAAAAACATCACAAATAAATGACATGGATTTCCAGTTAATGACAGACCAAGAAATCATAGCTAAAACTAATAATATTCATAAATAATATGCAGGCAACAAAATTACAAATTAACATGACAATTGATACTTTCATTTAATCAAAAAGCAAACAGATGGTAAACCTTGAATTCGAAGTTTTATATAAAAAAGATACTAATGCATTTTGGTGCAACCAAAAGAAAGGGCGTACCTACAATAAGCTATGCATAAACCTCTAATGCAATTTGCATGTCAGATGTCAATAACTAAGTTAATAACATCATGGTTCTGGACTGAGCAAAGCGATAACCTAGATGAAATACTGAAAAGAAGTCGACCTATCTATTTCATCAATAACTATTCTTCAACAGCAAAAACTGGACCGTTAAATCAAAATTGTCAACAGGAGAGTTATAAATTTTTTAATTGATTGTTTACTTGAACCCGAATTTGCTCTGCGCCAGAACCAGTAGTATGTTGTCATTTTCATAAAGAGCAAGATCATTCACTCAAATTTCCTTTCTGCAAATTAGAGTAAGTGTATCATTACATTTTATTATTTTAAGGAAAAGAAAATGCATTCACAAGGCACCAAGGGACTGCCACCAAAAATAAAATCCAATCAGAATTCCCTAGTAATATTAGTGATAATTATTGGCAAACCATGCTAGAACAAAAGCTATGGCTTTGATTCACAAAACATTCTCCTAAAACCTCAAAGAGGTAATATTAATGACAACTGAAGTTCTTGTTCTTCTCAAAAGACCAAGAAGCATACTAGATTCAAATAGTACCAAAAAAAAGGTATGTCAAAAATCAAAATTCAGCAAGTAGTGTAACAAAAGTAATACGAACTCACCCATCAGCAGGCATGTTTGTAGCAGCCAACTTTACTGGATATAAAGGATGTGCCACCGAAACCAGAAAACTGTATACAAAAAAACAGTTAAGATGTTATTTTTAGCTACTTTTGAATTTGAAATTACAATATGAAACAAAGAACTCCCAAAATGAGGCACAACCACCTCTGCTGCACTGCATTAGGGGTGGATTAAATTATATTCAAATCAACAATTCATGCTCATTCACATAATAAAAAAGAAAAAATGGAAGATTACATACGGGTCAGCTCGGTTGAGTCGACATATTTCACAGAAAAATAATTCAGGAACTGGTGGACTTCCTTCCATAGGCCTCTCTGGGATTACAACGCAGGTAATATGCTGCCAGACATGGCATCTCCGGTCCTCGCACTACAAATTGTTGAAGGAGAGGTGCAAAGTTGCATCAATAAATGCATTAATAGGAAAAAAGTATATGATATGTTGCAGAAAAGAAACTATGAACTTTAAGAATATAATAGTGACAAACACTTCTTCATATTCTTGAAACAAGCCGAAATTAAAGAATAGCACAGCTAATACCTAAAAGGCCTTCCTAGAGGTATGGCCTTCATCCCTAAAATAGCACAGGCAATACAATGCAAAATTTAGGACTTTAGGCACAACCCAAATTCATCAAGGTACTAAACCAGAGAAATGTGGTATAACCTTGATCATTGACTCTGTTTCCAATGAACTTCCACAGGGACAGCGAACTTTCACATCAGACTGGAAGGGATCATCAATTTCCCCTTTAACTTTCATGTTACTGCTGTCTAAAACACCATGTCCCTTTGATGCTAGATCATTTGCCCCAGAAACTTGCATTTTTCTGCAGAAAACAATTAAATGTGTGCATGCGTAAACAACATTAAGAAAAGTCGATACATAAAAAACAATAATAGAGGACAGACACATTAATGTGTAATGCCATTTCAAGCTCATAATAAAAACATCCTAGAGGTAAGTGACAAATTTTAGAACTTTCCTAGAAAACCGAAGCAAGGATATTAAATTTCAGTATTCTACCAGAATTGTATTCAATCAAATAGAAAACTTACATGATATATTTGACAAAGATTATGCTAGAAATAATAGTTTTAAGTTTCAAATGGGTGTAAACACTTAAAAAAGAATTGGTTAAAAAAATAACAGCAAAATTCAGGAGATGTATGTATCACTTTGAGAATTCAGACTAAAAGAACATGAGTTTACATAATTTAGACCGTATGAATATACACCATCATTTCCCCTGAACAAGAACTAAGGCATCTGCTCAGGAACAGATTAAAGATAAGTTATTGACATGACAAACAGAAAAGGTTACATATATAAAGCACAAGATAAAGCCCTCCTATGACCATGCCTTTCCTTTTGCTACTATATCTTTGGTGCTAGACCTTAATTACTTTGTTTAATAGTCACTATCTCAACATTCAAAGAATCTAGGGAACCTTGTAGATACTTTGCCTTCTTTTGGTAATACTTAAAGCTTCTTTTTGTATACAAGTGGCACCCCATAGTGATTTATTTATAATATCATTCCTATCTTTTTCCTCAAAGAAAAAAAAATTAAAGCCTAATTGTGCAAAAGTTGTATGACCTAAGAAGAATAAAGACACACCTGTACGTGTCATCAATTAGTTTTGCAACCTCTTCCTTTCCAACAGAACTCTTCTTTGCCCACATCTTGGAAACTGTTATGAGAGAACAGTGAGGAATAAAAGATTTAACAACACAGGAAAAGCACACTCAAAAATTAGATCAAATGTGAAAGAAATAGAAACTAAATATGGGATGAAAAAGTCTGAGAAGTACTATATACTATGCAGTAAAAAATATGAAAATGGAACTAGAGATAACAAGCATGTGTATCCAAATCTGTCTCTCACCCACACCACCGGCAGGGGAGGGGGGGGAAGAGACCAACTAATAGGACTGGAACAAGAGAATTAAATCTGGGTGGCAAGTTCTTCAGAAGGCTCAAAGAAATCTAGTGAAGAAATAGTCAATAAAGCCATGAGATCTCTTCTATTGTGAGAAAACTGTTCAATCTTTTTTAATCTCAGCCAGGAAAAATGCCCTTTCCTTGCAGTTAACGTATGCTCAAGTGCATGAGGACTGGCAACTAAAATGGATGTACGATTATCCTCAGACTACAAGTTAAATCACGGAAGGACATTAAGTTAAAATACTTACAAATTTCACCTGTTTCACAAAACCATTCACCAAAATTTTTTCTTAATATCAATCCACCAAATTGTTCATACAGGGAAGACAATTACCTTGCTCATCAGATAGAATGGAAAGTATCCGGTCAACAAGGTCCTGCATGAGAAAATTGCCATAAAATCAATCACAAAATTACCAATGGTGTAGTCTCGTGATTTAATAATAGAGATGCCATTGCTCGAATATCCCATGGAGAGGGAGACACTGGAAGCAAGACTGTAACCTGTTTCTTTCCCTGTTTTGAAAGGCCCCAATTGAGTAAGCACATCCTTGAGCTCTTTTATACGAAAATATCCCAGTTTATCCTGCAAGAATTCGAACCCTTGTTAAGCTATGTGCAAGTCCTTCAATCAGATGATAACCTCAGCTTTAAACTCTCATTACTTACACTCTCAACATAACCAAGCTCAACCATAAGGGTAGTGAACTGTCCTAGTAACCTTAAATAAATAATAGCATTTTACTTACACCATCTACACATTTCTCTTCCAATGTACGAGTTTGCGCAGAAAACAAATACTTGACTTAAAAAAATAAAAAATGCGTAAAAAGTAACACCACGAGTGTCAACTTGGAGTTTATGCCTTACAATAGTCCACGAACTATAACGTGTAACATAACTACAAAGTCCGTATTATTAACTGATCTTTCAATTTGAAACAGCGGTCCTCCAATAACTGAGCAGCCAAACCAACAGTAACTAAGTCTCAATTGATAAGCAGTAGATACTCCAAATAAGGTCCAGAAAAGAAGTAAAAGATATAATTAGGAAACGGTGGCATGATTAAGCTTGTTAAACAAATTCATAAAACTACATTAGGCCTCAAGGTCCTACCTCAATGACATCCAAGAATTCTAGTTACTCCATCCATCACATACCCGTACGCTTAACTTCTCAAAAGAACCGGGTAATAGTAGCAGCAAGACCAAATCAAAAGGCACCAAAACATTATGCAAACACAATAACTACAACACGTCAATATGGGAAGCACGAGACAGTGAGTAAGTACCTTGCAACTAGCTACCAAATCCATCTCTTAAACCCGCAAAAACGAAGGCAGACTTAGTTTACAATCTGCAGCCGATAAGACCAAAAACTCAACCGCAAAATTGATATAACTTATCCCATACGACCTCCAAACAGCAATCGATCTACCAAAGCAACCAAACAAAAAACCGAAGAATTAATCAACATTCAATCACCGAGCAAATTACAGCCAAATCGCAAAGCAAAAATAAACATCAGCTGAAACGATTACGAAGGCGGAATAAGTAAGCACTACAGTCAATCAAGCCACTAACCAAGCACTAAACCAGTTACCTGCTTATTGATTAACAAATTGGGCAAGAGGATGCAATTGGAGAGAAATCGGTGAAATAGGGTTTCCAGAGTATAACCACGACGCCGCCTTCTCTCTCTTCTCTTTTTGGTTCTTCTAAGAGAGGCGTTTCTTTTTTGACCAATGAGACCCAACCAGAAACAAACGATCCTCCAAGCAAATGACACAAAAAGTCCCGGACCTATCGCCGATTATCAAATCCGGCTTTTTTTACGGTGGTGACGTCCGGGTTTTTTTTCAGTGTGGTCGCAATCCGTACAAATTGGTATTGCACCCCAATTTCCTTTGCAATTCTTTTAATCGGGATATTTTACAGTGTCACGCACTGGCACAGCTGCTTCAATCAATTTCACCGCCTTGATCTTGCCACGTAAGAGATTTAGTGTATCGAACTGGCGATTGGCGTTGATGATACGTTTATAGTGAAGAATGAATATTCGGTGATCGACGTCTGGTGAATAGGAAACGGGCCCCACGCTATGAATGATGACTGTAAAGTGTGAAGGCAGAAAGAGGAAAGAAACTAGCCGTCGGAAAAAATGGGCACGGGTTATTGGGTTAACCCGTTAAGCCGACCTGTAACGCTAAGGGTCCGGCCCATTATAAATGTTCTGGTCTGGACTGGGCCTGAACTTCATGCTGACCAAAATCAAATCAACCAGCCGTACAAGCCACTATGTATTTTTATTGAAAAAAAATAAATTATTCCAATTTTGGATTATATTGACGTAAAAAAAATTATTTATTCCGTATTAATTATAGTTTAAAAAAATATAATTATTTACATAGAAATACCATTTTTCTTAAGGATTATAAGATAAAATAATGTTTTATAACTTTGATTACTTTATACAAATTGATCTATATATACATATATTGTAATTATTATAAGTTGTGAATAAAATACCTTTTAGTTTTAGTTCATTTTTCCTTTAGTTTCAACTTTTTAACCGAAAATTTATAAGACAATAAATTAAATTAAAGTTATTATTTTAATATTAATTATTTGTTCATAATAATGCATCAATACAATATAATTAAAATTATGGTATCATACAATGTATCCATCTTATTGTAGTCAAATTGCACGTGTAAGTTATTGTAATAATTCTATAATATATGCTTTTTTTTTTGTTGATAAATTCATAGTGTAAGTTAGTCGTACAATAATCACATATAAAATAATTATAACCAACTTGTATTAAATTAAATGGATCTATTAAAAAAAAATTATCTTATATTATAAGATACATCGAATATAATTGATTTTCTGTGAATGAAGTAGAAAAAAGACAAAAGCGAAAACCACAAATTTACTAATCAAAATTAGCCAGTTAATTAATCGAATTAGTGGAGAGTAAAAGAATAATTAGTTAATTAAATCCAAAAAATATATAAAAACATAAATTTTGGTCTCTCATCTTTTCACTTATTTCTCATTTTCACTTGTAAAGAAGGAAGATTAGTAGTTGGCTTCTGAATCAGCTCTCACAGCATAATTTCTTTGGAAACCAAGATATAAGATATGTGTGCGTTGTATGTACATATATATATATATATATGTATATATACACACACGTGCGAGACACAAATACATACATACATACATATATAAACACATGCGAGATGTCCTATGCAAGAGACATGATGCCGGCAGCCAAGCTAGTCGCTCACCCAATGGAGATAGGCACGGCTGACGGCGCCATCTCTCCTGCGTAGGAAATCTCTATATGCCTCCATTTTCATCTGTCACAAGCTCTATCACCTTTGCTTCCGTATACGTTATATATATATATATACACGTATACATATATATATATATATACACATACACGTTTCTATATACATAAGGCGGAATGAACGAAGATATATAGAAAACGGGTGTGTAAGGCGGGTGGTGTGTATATATAATAATTGACGAACACTGGGAAGGCGGCCGCATTGTTTGACCCGGTGGTGGATTTTATTATTTTTTAATTAATTAAATTTGTTTATTTGTATGCAAATTTATGTGGTTCCTATTTTTCACGGCCTCTAAAACCCTATCCAAATTATGAGGTCATCGCTTATACGTCATGTTGCTGTTTTTACACGCGCGCGCGCGCGCGCATGTACGGAATGAGGTTGATGCAAGTAATGGTGTGTGTTTGTAACTCGTTCAATTTGTTACAGTCATCTTAAATGTGTCTTCTGTATAATAAATAAATTATATAATACCATTTATATAGAGTGAGATAGATATAAACTTGTAATATATTAGATCCGTAGATTTGTAATGCCCCAACTTTTTTTTTTTTTTTT